TTTCTATTAACGGGTGAAACTCGATAAAAATATGGCTAATTTGAAAATTATAGGTATTAGTACCTTGAACACAAGATTTGGACATATTCGCATCACACAACTCATTCAAGATGGCCTTCCTTTTATTAACACTTTACAAGATACAAAAATTTAGTCCATGTTTGATATCGTTAAAAATATTGATTAAAATATAAGTTAACAATTAATTTTAATTACTTATTTTATAGTACCTATAACTTTTTAACCACATAGTATATAAATTTTTATCAAAATCTATGAAAATTTGATTTTAATCTCTATGAAATAGGGACTTAGTTTCACGGGCCGTGCTATTCAAACAGGGGCCGTGATAGGTGCCTATTTGGCGCCCCTTATTGGAAGGGGCGTCAACGGCCCCTATTTGAGTAGAATTATTCTAGTTTCGCTGCGAGCAGCAGCACGAATCCAGGGAGAAAACCCTCTGTAACATGGCAGGGGTGGGTGAAGAAAATATTCTTCATATGTTCTCTCTCATTTCGTTTATTATTTTTGGTATTTTCCTTATTTTTTTATTGGGGCTTTTCTTTTTCTTGGTAATTTATTTTCTTGTCTTTTTTTTTTTTAATTAAAGTTAAAATGTAAGGTCATATTTGACACAAATTTAACAGATTTGATGGAAAATTGTTCGTACTCTGCTAATTTCTCAAAGGTTTGAGGACAAAAATTGGAACAAAAAAAGGATAAATTTCACTCACAATAATTAGACTTTCGCTTAATATCAATCTAGTAATTGTACTTATATTTTGTTGAAATTAGATAACTAAACTTTGATTTCAATCACATAACTGCATCCAAATCCGTCACTTGGATTGATGCGAATTGAAAATAAAGATCATCATTTATTTCACTCAAAGTGTACTTATTCTATGTTAACAACTAATGGTTACATGTAATGATTATCATTTATTGATCCCCACATCATCTATTTCTATCGGGAAATTGGATAAAGTGACCTTAGTTGAAATTAGTTCAAACTGTAGTTACGTGAAGTTACCAAAAGTTATCCGATTAATAAAATTAAAATACAATTACCTGATTGATAGTAAATGAAAGTATAGTCATTGAGGATGAAATTTATCCAAAAAATTTTAGGGTAGGTATGTTGTTTTGGCCAAAGGTTGGAAACGAATAGTGCAAATTACCCTCTATATATTTTACAGTATAACGTAATACCGTGCACTGAAAATGAGAGATTTATTTTCTCTCTAATTTATTTGCTTTTTCAATACAATAAAGTTTAAGAGATTTATTTTCTCTATGCTAACTTAATTTTTCTTGTGTTTATAGTATAAATACTTGTGTTTAAAAATAATTTTTATCTTGAAAACAATTAGAAAAAGCTACCAATTTCTCCCATCAAATAAATTTTAAAGTAAATAAAAATTTAAATAATTTCACATCTTTACCTCTTTCATTTATAATCATAAATCAGTTGATATTTTAGATCATGCAATGGTACTCTCATATAGTGATTAAAGAAAATGCTACATATATTTTTTTTATAGACAGTTCCAAAATCAAATAAAAGAGGGTTGGTTGTGATAGGTTGACGACTAACCATATAAACATTTGGTCTGAACATCTCAGTAATGATGTCATTCATCGAGGTGGTGGCGTAATTTCACCATGAATCTTCGAAGTATCCCAAAAAAATATGATGACAAAGAACACGACGATATCACAAATCATAAATGAGCTCCTTTTCTCGTAATAGCTCGCCCACAGGAGGTTGAAATAAAAAGAGAAACATACAGAACTCCATAAACTCTTAAATAATGTTTTATTCTAACACATTACAGGAATGGGTTCACTGTTAAGGTTGTCATTTGATTAGATCGCTAAATATAACCTACCTTACAGGAATGTGTTCACTGTCGAGGTTGTCATTTGATTAGATCGCTAAGTAGTTTTATGGATCGAATCGAGAACCGTTTTATTTTATTTAAAAAAAAAAAAGATCAAATAAAAATTTGAAGAACAAAGCAACAATAAGTCAATAACTAGCAAAAAACCAACCATAGAAAGTAAAAAACAAATTTTCAACTACTTCGGAAAGATCGACATACATCCAACCATTTTGTAGTTTATACCTTTAGAAGACTGACTCCAGACTCGGAGGCTTTCTACCGTTACTATGTATCCATGGATACCTTTAGCACAAATTAAGATAGCAATCAAGAAATAAACGGATGAAAAAATGAAAGCCCCGAAGAAAGTAAAGAAATGCTAAATTTTTTATTTTTTATTTATTTATTTATTTTTATTTTATTTCCTTTTTGATTGAGTAAGAAACCATACTTCTTCGATAGATAGTCTATTGTAAAACCCAAATGGTTAGATACTGAATTTGCAAACCAAGCAATTTCTTGAAGCACTTTGATAAGAAACCTATTCTAGTTTCTTTACTCAACCTTCGAACTTCAGAAAACTTTCGAATTCAGTCATCAGAAGTCACCTCAGGAGTTGATACTGGCCATTACCTTATTTCTATCCCGCTTCCATCACACGGCAAATCTATTATTAATGCACCATCCTCTCTTCAGACCACCTAATAAGCTACCGATAGAGTCAAAATAAATTGGAGAAACACCGAAAGGAAACTCAGCATAAAGATCAGTGAATCAAGATTCCAGCTTAGCATCAGATGAGCTCAGCCCAGAAGAAATGACACCAATGACTTACGAGTGGAAGGGCAATAAAATCCTTGGCTGTACTCCAGGCAAAATTTTCAGGGACGGCTTTGAACTGATGGACTGCACAACAGCATCAGAAACAATTAAATTTACAAATTGTAGGTACATGAGCTTCAGCTTATATCATAAAGAGGCAGTACAAGAATTTAATATCAGCAATAACTTGTACCTTTTGNCAAATTGTAGGTACATGAGCTTCAGCTTATATCATAAAGAGGCAGTACAAGAATTTAATATCAGCAATAACTTGTACCTTTTGTACTTCCTGTAAAAGGCACTGATTTCCTCCTCGGTAAGACCACCCTCATCAGCATTTTCTTCCCAGCCCATAGAGCGTAAAAATGCAGCCTCTTCCTCCTCTGGAAATAATGGATCTAAGCTTGGATATTTCTTCCCATTGCAAAGACATGTTTGCCTCTCAATAGCATCACCATTGCAGGTCTCATCACCCCCCTCCTCGGACAAGTGGCCTCCACTCGAGCTAACAGGTGATTGCGCATCTCTAGCCTGAGTAATCGTAACAGCAGAGGAGACCAGTGTTTCACCAATCTTATCAGTTACAGACGAAGACATGGGTGTGCCAAGATCAGAAGCAGACAAGGAATTTGCCATAGATTTCCTCCTCATGAGGTTGAAAAAATCATTTCGGCTTCGAGCTTGAGAATTCGGCCGCTTCTCCAATGCATTAAGTGCAGGCTTGCCCTCGACAGCAGGAAGGACCAGGTTGTTTGGGGGAAGCCTAACTGCTGCGGATCCAGAAATTGATGAAGCAACAGAAAGAAAGGAATTCGCTGCTTTGCTACCACCCGTTGGGCTTAAATTTTCCTTCACAGCAGGAGAGGGGACATTTTTTTCCCGCACTGGCTTAAGAACTTGAAGCTTACCCACGCAAGATATCTTTGAAGCATCAGCCTTCACGGCTGCACCCCGTGAAGAGTTAGTAACATGAGGATGCTGTTGATGGCCCACCTTAATCTTCTGTTTGTCGGGAGAATTTGACACCTGAAACAAAGTTCAAAAAGATCAACCACAGTCATAAGCATCTACAAACAATGGTATCAAAAGGATAAAAAGCAGCCAATCTATATGGCACAAACATTGAGAACCACTCAAGCTATTTGATTAATTGACAAAATTAAGTTCGTAAAAGCTGTTTAGTAAGAATATGGTCAGAAACAGAAGAGGCAGGAATGCATGGAATGCACCCTAGAAACATCAATTGAAAATCACTCCAACGCTTGTCTATCTTACGAGATGGTTAAAAAAATATTCAATATGCTAAATCTAATGAATAGTCATGTATCATATTCTCCAAGCTCGTCTAAAATCTACAATCTCCCTTAACTGATATACCTGAGGAACATGTATTGGGACCAAGCTAGTGAAGAAAAGGTCATATTCTGCCACACCTTAGTTTATCTTTAGTTCAAATTTCTTCACTAAACTTTGGGAAGAGTGTTTCTTATATAACAGTTCCCGTATAGGCCAGATAATGAATTCTTGAAGTAATAACTGATGCACACAGAAGAGTGAAAGTTAACCGGCTTACTCCAACTAGTTAGTATTATTTATGCGGGAAAGAAA